CCCTTTTTTTTAAATAAAAGTAATTCCAAAAAATGGGGAATTTTTTCCAAGAAATAGGGGGGCAAAAGGGTGGGATTGGATAAATTTAAATAGGGATGGGAAAAAAATGTTTGGGATTCCAACCCCCCAAATTTTTTTGGGGCAAATTTGGTTGGGGAAAAAAAAATTTCCCCCTTGGGCCCCCCCCCCCCCGACCTTCAACCAACCTTTTCCTAAAAAATTTTGTTTTCGAAAAACCAAAAAAAAAATTTCCCCCCCCCCCCTATTTCCACCAACCTACCTTTTAACCCCCCCCCCCCCCGCGGCCCACACCTTTCACCAACCGACTCCTAACTTTTTTTGTTTTCCAGAAACAGAAAAAGATCTGTTTCATTTCTCTCTTATACGGGCTGACTTATATGGGCTGAATATGATTCTCATGTTTACCCATTTTGTCCATATTTGTATGAGCTTAAATAGGTTGAAAATCATAATAACCCATTTAAGATAAGGAAAGAAAATATGAGTGATCCATTTAATTCAACATGGGCAAAATGGTTTCATCTCACTTATATGGGCTAAAATTGTCACCCCTAACGAGAAAGGACTGGTAACATAGCCAGGAATCAGTATGTAAAAAATGCACCTAAAGATCATAGAAAAGACTGCATCAGAAACTTTACCCTGTCTGAACCATAAAGAGATTGAAGTCGCATGGATTAGGTAAAACACTCATGCATTTATTTTCTATTTGATGCTTGTATTCTGCTCTTTGAGCTAGCAAATCAAATCCAATGATCCGCTTGTCAGCTCCAGCGGACATCACAACTTTCTTATGCTGTAAACCGGCAACTCCCATCACTGCAGAAGAATGCAAACTTCTATGCAATGCTTTAGGTTTCCATGAATTTTCTCCATCTTTATTGCTCCACATGATAACTGCATGATCACTACCACCAGTAACAAACAGGATATCTTCCCATGGCATGAAGATCATATTGTTGATTACCCCTTTAACATGAGGCTTATCCTCCAAGAAACTTACACGCATCTTCTGTTGATAAAAAGCACATGAGCACATAACAGGGATAAAATCAAAGTAATATTTGATGTGATAGGATGCCTGATGAGCTTTGAATGCTACATACCTGAGGTTGAAATACTACATACCTAAGCATCAACAACTTCAAAAGCAACAGGAAAACAATGCAATTGGTAGCTAAAAGACCTATTTAGTTTAGTCAGGGAAACCTATGATTACGAGGCTTATCTGAAGCCTCTAACATGATGGTTATCTGAAGAAAAGGAAAAAGGAAAACATGATATTGAGCCTGTTAATCATCATAAAGGGTAATTCCATGTGTACAGAATATTATGGACAAGAACATAATAAGAGAAAAACTACAATATAAGTACTCTCATCCTCTTTTATGAACAAAGTGACAACGTAAGTATTTCAATCCTCTTTGGCGGCTCAAATGAAATATAATACAAGTACTTTAAGTTATCAGGTTAAAGTCCAGATATTCAAGGAATCAGAGGACTTCCTCATCCTATCCTACAGCTTTCCATCAGAAAGACCTGTAATCTGGGTCTCATATGTCTATTAAACCACTACCACAAACCTTGCTTAACACACTATCCCAAACATGATAAAGTGAAAGTGGACTAATATACCGTTCCATCAGTTTCAAAAAAAAATTATTACATACACACTGCTCATACTGCTTTGTTGATATGAAATCATAATGCAACTCAATCCAGAGGACTTAGCACACGCGTGCACATGTATACATGCTGTTTCATTCAAGTAGGTTGTACAGTTCTATGAACTTTGGCATATAATTTTGGGGGAGTTAATCTCGGACTTAAACCTTTACCTCTTTTCCTTTGTTAAGATTCAAGATTGAAATTTGAGAATCCCCACCATCAGCACTATAAGCACAAAAGAGACTATGGCCTTCCGGATGCCAGGCTAAATCTTCTGGCCATCTCCTATGCTTGGACGATAAGCAATCAGTGGAACTAAGAAGATTAGCAGTTGACCTGATTATCCAAAAATAAATAAATTAGGTAACTCAAAACCATCAGAACACAAACATATGGTAAAACAATAAAATTAGCATTTAAAAGTTATTGTTGCCTGAAGTAGGAATGCGATCCAAAATACAATCTCACAAAGGAAAGATATACTGATATGACTAAGGAAATTAACTTTCAAAGTTCTAACATACCCTCTGCCATGTACCTGCCATAAGTTGACAAGCCCGTCCAACGCACTGCATATTCAGGGGTAAACTAAATTAGCATTAAGGATAAAGTAAAGCTATATGGAAAACCCACTTGCGTACTATGTCGGATGCTCAAAAATGCCAAGGAAAGAGCAAAAAATACAACTAAACTGGGCCTTAGTCAAGAGAAAGTGAAGTGCAGTGGTTATTATATCAAGGAAAAGAAATCAGCTACTCTTAACAAATTAAAAGATACTATCAGCAGGAAAGACTGACTGCAATTGAGGAATCAAATAATAGCTTCGTGATTAACACTTGAGATTGACAGCAGAATCTAAATGATGTACTAGAAAAGTGGAAGCTCTACTAGGATAGAGCAGCAATCATCAATGAATCTACATTATAACATCTTGCTTTCCTAAAAATGCTATGTCGAGGACTGCAATTAATCTCAAGCACAATTTCCCATAGAGAGGTGGGAGAAGGAACCGGACAAGCTTCTTCACTAAGTGTGTCCATTGCCAAACCATTGACAACTCCAGAAGCAAGGAATAAAATGCATCCATAGTCAAATTGTCATTTAGCATGAGTGCATGACCTTTACACAGACTCTTAAGCACTGTGTAAGTCCTAATAAAAAATTCACCTGCTTGCAAAAAGTTGATCATTTGTAGGACACGAAATAATTGTTCTCAGCTTTCTCTTGTGTTGACTAGATATGACACAGGACGTCTGGCAGCGTACCATGCTCGCTGAAGAGTAACTACCTATCAATGGTATCAGCTCTCTATGCTCTTTCTGCTCTGTATTTACAAAGCAAACATGATAAATATATGCGTCAGTTGGTAATTTTCATATCAAAAAGGCTTTCGCCCTGCATGCTCCTACCAGTGATCAATAATAACTACCAGAATATTTCATGATATAACAACATTACCAAACTTCCTTTTTGTTCCTTTAGGCTGAAGTTCCGAAGCTTCCTTCTCCGGCGTTCTGTGACTTTTATCTGCTTTTAACTTTGTCATACTAGTAACATGAGGAAACCCTGATCCACCGACCTGAGAATCAGAAGCACTTGAGATTTTAGGACCAGATTCTATAATCTTCAAAGGTTGAGATACTCTCGGTTTCACATCGGGAATGACAAGCAATGGTTTCCCCTGGGGCACACTGCGAGAACTATTATCATTTTTCTGGAAAGGGCTTGCCATTTTCCTATCTGGCACTGGAGATTTCCTAAGCGGTTGATTGCTGTCTTGGATACGATGTCGTTTAGATTCAGACAAGCTATGAAAAGGGCCCTCGTTTATCTGAATGGGACTTGTGGATCTTCTTTTGGATGTCATTGGATTTTCCCCGTTCCCACGGGAGCTTGTGGATGCTGCTATGTTCTCTCGGCCCCGAAGACGAGCTAATTTCAGCTGTGTCTCCTCTAGCCTATTTTCTGCTTCATGGTACTGCACAACTCATCCAAAAAAGATAAAGGGATGTCAATTTTTCTACAAAGAAGTAAAAGAATGACTCTTTAAAGAAACAAAAATGTGAAAAGTAAATCATCCTCCAGGTTGCATCTAACATTCCATACATCCTTCTGAATTTAATGCTTCAGTGAACTGCAGATTTAATAAGAATATGAACTGCTAATCTACAAGCAATCCTGTATCACTACAATAACTTTAGCTCCTATTTCTCTTGAGGAAGGCACAAGATCAATGAAAGCTATTTACTCATCCAACTTATGCTTAGATATCAGCATCAATGTGTGTAAGAGAACAATACCAAAAAAGTATCATGCAACTGCCAAAAACAGGTGTAAGGAAAACACCCCAGAACACGACATTCGTGTATAAAAGTCAATGCAGTTGTTAGATATCCCACAGCAGTTACCAGACACATCAGTGACTATAGTATTCAAAACAGCCAGTTCATAGTCCATCAAAAACCCTCAACATGTCACCATTTGCCTCAATGGTTGCATTAGGTCACATGTTTACAACTAGTGGTGGAAAATGGGTGGGTTGGGTCAAACTTGGGCGGGTTAAAAATGGGTTAACATAAAATGAATAATAATTCAACCCGCTCATATTTGATATGGGTAAAAATTGATTGGATAATAAATGGGTTGGGCATAATACTAGTTTACCCATACTTTCCTGAATAAATAATACTTTACTAAAAGAATTCAATATGGAGAAGATATTTTAGAGCCCGTTTGGATTGGTTTAAAAGTTGATCAAACCTAATTTTAAGTTAGTTTGACTTCCAAAAGTGTTTGGCAAATATAAAAAATAACTTAAAATAAGTTGGAAAGTGTTTGGCAAGATCAAAAATGACTTATAATAAGTTTAAAATGACTTGAAATAAGTCAGAAACCAAAAGTAAATCTTCCCCTACTTTTTATTTTTTGACTTAAAAGTCATTTCAGTTTGACTTTTTATTTTGAATTAAAAGTTACTTTTTTAAAGCCAATCCACACGGGCTCTTAGTTTTTTTTAGATGAAAAATGTTGAACATGCTTCATTTATTTTATTGTATCATAAAAAAAATTCTTTAACTTTTCAATATAAAATAAATTTACGTAATAACAAGATGAAAATATTTTTAATTTCAAAGTAAATGAATATTTGCATTTTCGGACTAAAACATGCTTAATGTACTTTAAGCAATGTCAATACTAATACATGATTTGTTTTTTTTACAATATTATTATTATCCAATATAAAATTAAACAAAAAAAAATACAATCATAATTAACAAAAGAAATGTACATTTGAATTATATATTTTTGAAGGGTCAAAGACTTCACCTGCAATTAAAGAGAAGAATAACTAGTTCTATAGAATAACATAAAAAGGAAGAGCAATTGCACTATTTTTATTTTAGTGATATCATATTCTCAGTGAATAAAAATTAAAAGTAATTAAAAGTTAAACCCATTTGGCTAATTCATATTTTATCCATAAAATTTTTATGGGTTAAATATGGGTATCAACCCATATTTTACCCATGTGAAAAATCACTCACCCAACCAATTAAAATATGGGCGGGTTGGGCGGGTCACAAAAATATGGACTCATTTTGCCGGCACTATTTACAACTGACATCAACATAAAGTTGAACAATCTTAGTTTTTTTAATCAAGAAGTTAGTAAACAAAGAAAAAAATGAAATTGGCATGAATTTCTTGATTATTCAATCGAGTAGATCTAAACAGTGTTCACAAGAAATTTCAAAAAAAAAAAAAAGGAAAAGAAAGCATTTCCTATTCCTAATTAGACAATTACAACCTGTGGGAATTTAAATCTCTCCTGTATTTACAAGGAACAGATTCTTTCTATACTTATTATTTCCTAATATTGACATTCGTAAAATAGTTGAGGAGACTACCATAGCTGACAACCACTAAATGTTGCCTCTCTCTCTTAATACCTACTTGAACTTGGGAATGGAAGGAAGTGTATGGACAGTTTTTACATATTCTAAATATAGTATCTAGCAATTGCACCTATCTTTACTAGAAACTTGTACCAATAGGAGACAAAACAACCAACAAATGAGTGTAATAACATGTTGTATAAACCCTTCCCTTTGAAACATCCAGCTAACAAGTGAACAGCAGCTGCTACACCCTTGCTTCTTGCCTTGTATTACTTAGTAAAGCAACTTTTCATGCTAGCACTTGCCAGCTTCAGAATATCGACTCCTATGGTCAACTTCTGATCCGATTCTTAAAAAGAAAAAGTGAGCTGCCATAGCTTATGGCTATTACAATTAAGCCAAATAGAAAGGTCTTGCAACAGTCCAAGAATAACTTCCCCATATCAGTGAACCAAAAAAATGGTAAACTCTGGACTTAATTGACTAGATATGTCACAAAGAATTTCTTTGTAAATCAACCCATAATAAAAATCCAATAGGCTGGAATGGGAAGTAAGTAGCTTCAAGAAAAATTAAAAAGTACAAACTTTAAACTCTCTTTTTGCACTCAAGAAACAGAAAAAATTAAAAGAAGGTAAAGATGGGAATGTTATTAATGCTCCAAAATAAAGAGAAAGACTTTGTAATAAAACAAACATGTAGATATGAAAAGGTAAATTGTTTCCCAGTAATAGTCCACATTCAACACACATCCTTTGGTGAATTAACTGCTAGCTAGTGTAAGTTGAAAGATAATTTAATTTTTTGAGATGCTGAGGAGCAACAACTGAAATATCTGAGGGTTATACTGATTCTATTTGAAGGGATGTCTTTCTGAATTACATATCAACTGGAGGAAGAGCTTGGTGTATCTAGTCAATGAAGTCACAAATATGAACTGCCTAGCAGCAATCCTTAGTGGGGAAATTGGTACTCTGCCAACAACTTACTTGGGAACGCCTCTAGGTGAAAAATCCAACTCTATTGATATATGGAATGGTGTGCTGGAGAAGTGTGAAAAGAAATTGGCTAGATGGAAACTCAATACCTGTCCTTCAGAAGTAGACTGACAATCATCAATTCAGTCTTAGATTCCTTGCCAACTTACATGATGACCTCGTTCCCAATACCACCAAGGGTCATCAAGAGATGGACAGTATCAGTAGATAATTCCTATGGCATGGCAATAAGGAGAGGAAAGGCTTCAATTTGGTGAAGTGGAAAGTAGTTATAACTGACAAGAAGGTAGGGGGTATGGGGATCAAGAACTTGAAGGTACAAAGTAAAGCTCTCAGAATGAAATGATTGTGGAAGTTTGCCAATGAAAATCAGATGTTGTGGAAAAGGTAATAAGTGAAAAATATGAAGATGACCAAAGAAGTGACTACACCTTATGGAGTGAGTTTCTGGAGATCAATAAGAGACATGTGGGATGAAGTTAAGAGTAATGCAAGGATCAAAGTTGTAGATGGAAGCAAGACAAAATTTTGGAAAGATGAGTGGCATGAAAAGGGAAACCTGGAAGTTCTTTTCCCTGACATATACAATATACTTTTGGGACAGCACAATACTATAGCAAAGTTATGGACAAATCAGGAATGGAGCTTCAATTTAAGAAGTCAATTCAACGACTGGGAAATAGCAAGAGTGGCAGAATTTCTCAACACTGCGGAAGCTTTTAATGGGCTACAAACAGGGGAAGATGTTATGTAGTGGAAGGGAAATAGAAGAGGGGATTCAAAGTTAACTCAGCCCACAATTTGATGGATCAGACAAACCGACAAACATACAGTTGGCCATGGAAACAAATGTGGAGAAGCAAAATACCTCATAAAATCTCATGCTTAATATGGTTATTGGCCAAAGAAGCTGCTCTAACTCAAGATAACTTTGAAGAAAAGAGGGATAACCTTATGCTCTAGTTGCTTTCTTTGTGGGGAGGCATTAGAGATAGTGAACCATCTGTTCCTACACTGCCAGTGTACCGAACAACTATAGATTTTTTTGAATCTCAAAGGCATCTCCTGGACCATGCCCAGGAAGGTCTCAGAGGCTTTGAAGAGTCGGGAGGCAGCAGGGGTGAATGCAAAGGACAGAAGGAGAATTATCCCTGCTAGTATATGGTGGACTACTAGGAAAGATAGGATTCTAGGTGTTTTGAGAGCACAGATAATGATGTCCATAAAGTCAAGTTAAACTGCATTTTATCGTTATGTTTTTGGTGTAATCAAGTATACTCCAATTACACTGTAATTGATGTTTTAGACTCAATATAGACTGAAACAAGTCGAAAAGGAGATATCTGTATATAATGGTTTCAATACAACCCAGGTACTGTTTTGTGATATAATACAAAGTTACCTATTTCAAAAAAAAAAAAGTATAAATGTAGTACATTGCACTAAAAGCAATTCTAAGGTCCATAACTTAGGTTTCAAGATGGGTCTCTCACAGGCACTAGATAAATAGAAGTTTTTTACTCAGTAATCATTTAATTGAATGTTTACAATGTATCTCAATGCGTACAATGTGCCAGTAAGAAAAAGTATCACAGATCCTTCTCAGCAAGAGGAGAACTTGTAACTGCCAAAAATGGGGAAAGAAAGCACAAAGAATCCAGAATTCACATTCATGTATCTTTGTTAGCAACATTGAGCAGGGCGTCTATTGAAAACAACCTCTCTAACTTCTCAAGGAAGGAGTAAGTTCCGTGTACATACTACCCTCTAAACCCCGGGACCCAACATTTGGGATTACATAAGGTTTGTTTTTGTTGTTGTTGTTGTATCAATGACAGCAAAACTACTGTTACTGCATTGGTTAATGACTTAAGTATCCAAAATAACAGCCACCTCATTTTCCAGTTGACGTCCTCAACATGTCATTGTTTGTCGTAAAGGTGCATTGGTTCACAAAATATCAGACGTGAACTGTACTCTATTTCATTTTGATTAAATGTCATAGAGAATGTTACATATCGTCACTACTAAATATTAACTTGATTCTTTATCCTCTTAATTTCTTATAACTATTTTACTGAACCACTTGTAAAAATGTCAGGAAAGTTTCTAGATTTCGCAAATATAGTATCTCACAATTAGACCTATTTTACCTAGCCACTTGTTACCAAGGGAAGACGAGACGTCCAACTATTGAGTGTATTAGCATGTCGATTAACCCCAAAAGGAGAAGATACAAACAGAAATGACAACTAGGATTTTACCCTAATTATTGCCCTTATCGGATATATGCCCTCCACCTTATTCAAATTGTCATGTTGTGCACGACAATAAATTCGAAATTTCGTAAAGAAGGGATTCTTAATATCAGATCACTAATGCAATCCAATGAACAATACACCAACTCAGATTCGAGAATAAGTAGGAATCAAGCAACTTAAATGGGCCAACATGCGCACGATCCAACTCATAGCATTCACAATATTCACACTCAAATAGAGAAAGCTAACTTTCTTCCGATTAAGCTCGGTTATCGCGGGACATTTATTTGCAAATCAGAACACAGCAGATTAGAAGAGAGACCCAAAAAGGGAAAGATGAGAGGCAGCGGCTCACTGATAATACGAACTCACATTCTTGTCCTGACAAATTACCAACCTGTTAAGGTATCTTTCACGATGACCATCCTCTCTCATTCCAGTTCTTTTCTCTTTTCTTAGGGGCAAGTGCATTTTCATTCCCTCGATATGGCCATGTGTAAAGCAACTTTGTGATCCAATGAATTCCCTAAAATTAATGCCAACTAGAATAGATTGAATCAACCAGGTAACAACAGGCTCCAATCGAAAGGAACCGCGCATACGCTAGAAAGACGCCTAGGAAAGCCTTTCTTTATGATCATATGGATAGCTTTTCATGACTTCACTTACCACAGGCATAAATTGTAGTCTAACCAGCTTTCTAATTTAGGGGACGAAGAATCAGTCTTTTGATCCTCCTCAAGCCCTAAGTTGCTCGGACTCGGGTGCGGGTATCCGAGACGGATGCGAATCCGAGAGTCGGATTCGGCAAAATTTAAAATTTTAGATTTGGGGGTGCGAATCCGAGTATGGATATGGGTGCGGGGATTCGGCTAAAATTATTCAATATTATAAAATATAGTTATAATAATAATAATATTAAGTATTTTGTAAAACGCTATACTTAAAAACATATCAATTATAGATGTACAAATTTAAAAGCATACATTAATTATGACTAGTTACTACAGTAATTAATATTTAAAAATTTATAATTCCTTTTATTTATTATAAAAAATAATAATCATTATAGCCTAACAATTAGATGATGCAATTCATTGAAGTGCTGGTGTTGCCCTTTCTTCTCCCAAGAAACCCTTAGCCTTCTTGTTCCTTTTCAAGAAAAAAAAGTTACTCTCTTCTTCTTCAAGAACAAGACTTTGAATTCTTTGTTTACTCCCATGGAGCCTTTACCTCCTGTCTATACTTGCACAAGAATTCTTTTCTATGGAGCAATCAGATCTTCTGACAACTTCGTTGGAGAAAAGTCGTCTAACTTTAGGCCATGAAATTAATCTTTTCTTCCCCCATTTTTTTTCAGGTCTGGTCAAAGTATCCAAATCGGATTGACCAAATCCGACCCACACCCCGCACCTGCACCTGCACCTGTCTCAACTCGTGACGGGTTCGGCTCCAAAACTGAAGAGTCTGTGCAATATAGCTCAAGCTTACTCTTGCCTTTCAAATTAAGCTTCCGATTTAGTTGATGCAGCTGCTGAAAGATCCGCTGACACTAGATAGTAAATGTTTTCAATCGAAGCTCTCGAACCTATTCCAAAGTCACTTTAGGATTCGATTTCCTATCCGGTTGATGTTCCGACATCCAAAAATTGAGATGGCTCTACACTCAAGTTGCCTACCTCTCTAGCTATAGAGAGAGGAGAGGGGCGTCGAAGCCTTAATTCAAGCTAGAAATCTCGCTAGATGGCTAGAGAATTAGCCATATCGATCCGGGTAAGTCGTCACAATGAAAAGGCTTTAAAGATACTGCTTTCAAATTCACTTGCCCAAGAACCTACTTATTATTGATCTAGAATCAGCTATTCCTAATTTTTTTTTTCTTCCTAGCCGGAGAAATTAAACTAATCTCGTTTCCCTACCATAGATACTTTTACATCAACTTGGATCACAAAAGGAAGAACTTGGGACTTACCTAGAACTCGAACCCCTAGCATTCCAATTCAAACTCAAAAGAGATGGAACTAAACAGAGTTAGGCCCCTTGCCTCTTCCAATGGGACTAAAGAAAATGCAACTACTAAGACAGCAACTCAAACTAAATCCCGAGAGGTAAGGTCTATAGACTGTAATGCACAAAGCTTGAACGGAAAAAGGTTAATAAAACAGTAAAAAGTACATTTTTAGCAACATTTCTCTTGATTGAACAATAATTTACAAGCAATTAATTTCAAACAAATATATATGTGCCTCAAAGTAGCAATAACTGCAATTCATTTATCGAAATCATCAACTTCAAATTCTAGATCGGATGAATGAATTACTAACAATAACGAGGCAAAAAAAAAAAGAGTACCTGAGATTTGTAATAGGTGAGGCGTTGTCGAAGATGTTCAACTTCCTTCGTACGATGTTCAATGAGAGCGATAAGTGCTTCTTCTTGCTCCTTTCTATCTTGCTCTTCCATTCTTCTTCCATTATCTTCTTCGCCGTTTACAGTTTTGGGGTTCGGAGGTTTATTCATTTTCACGATATTGCCGTTTTAGCGTCGCTCTGTCTGTCTTTTCAATAATCCCTATAAATATTGTTAAATTTATACGTATAGTCCTTGTGTCCACTTTTAATTTATTCAAATATGTTTTTTAAAAGTTAATTTGACTTTACATTAAAAAAGATTATATATTTAACAAAATATATTATTATTTAAAAATTTTTATTTTTTACATATTAATATGATGAAAAAATATATTATAAAATATTAGCCAAAGTTATTATTCCCTCCATTCAAATTAATTGAATTGCTGAGATATTTCATACTATTTTAAGAAAAGAAGAATAAAACATAAATTAAACACAACTTTTCATTTTTACTCTTATTAATTATTATCAAATTTATGTTATATTAACTAAATATTAATTGATCACTAATTTCAATACTAACTAATGAATAGTGAAATTAGAAGAACAATTTATAAGTGGTCTTGAAAATTGAATAATTAAATTAATTTAAAAAAATAAAAAATATCTATAACAATTCAATTAATTTAAAATAAAGTATTCTTAAAAAGAAAATTACCACAATTAAAAATAGACGAAAATTGTAATAGGTTGAAATTATTTAATTACCAATAATAAAGATATTAATTACTGAACAAATCACAAAGATTTATTACTTCTTGCATTTCATAGTAATTGAGTTGTTGGTGTGTATTGTGTTTTCACACCCTTGAAACTAACAGTATGACATAAATTAGATATTATTTTTCATTTTTGTTCTTATTATTTTTTGTCAAATTAATTTTTAAAATAACTAATAATTAATCATATTAATCAATTTAACAATTCAAAGCAATTAAAATTTCTTGAACTTATCAAATAGAAAATCCAAATAAAAGATAAATATGGAAGAATACTTTAAAAATAATGTAGAGCATTGAATAATTAAATTAATTTAAAATATAAAAAATATTTCGATAAATTTAATTATTCTCAAATGGAGGGAGTAATCACGTTTTCCTTTTTACTCAGTTTAAGGGTCTGTTAAAATTTGATTTCTCACATCTATTAATCATAAAGATATTTGAAGTCACAATTATTAATTGGTTTTTAATTGCACGGCATTAGGTGCATTTTAACACTGATTTATAGCTCTCAGTGCATAGTAGTAAGGCAACAATTGTGCAGTAGAAGTGTTTCTCGATGACTCGCCGTCAAACCGTTCATACACAAACACCAAAAATAGTTACCTCTCCTACTAGTGAAGCTCAGCAACTGATACTCCAGTGGAGATTCTGATAGAGGCAACCACAACAATGGTAAGACCTTGAATTTTATTCCCTCTATGCTTAAGGAGGGTGTTCTTACTATGATAATTGAGAAAGAGGATATTTGCCTACAAATCAAAGAATGGGAAACAACATTAATTGGCTATAAAATTGGAGATAACCCATACGAAGTGCAAATGCTAGAGTATGTCAAGAAGGTATAGGGTTTTGTTGAACTACCCCATGTACTTTATCATGATGATGGTTACTATGTTTTAAAATTTTGTAATATAGCTGAAAAGGAGAAAGTGATACATACTGGACCTTATTTGTATGGAAACAGACCCATGATTTTGAGGAATTGGGATGTGGATTTTGAATACCCAAATCTCAATTTAGGTAAAGTTCCCTAGATTACCTATTGAATACTGGTCTGTTGCGGTATTAAACAAGGTTGCCAGTGCTATTGCGATTCCTTTGGCTACATATGGATATAGAAAATATCTTATGCGAGGGTCCTAATTGAGGTGATATTTCGAAAGTCCTGCTAAATATCATTGTTGTTGAAACCCCTTCTGGACCTTGAAATTAATATATTTATTAATATGAATAAAGACCCAAATTCTATAATAATTGCATTAAATTAGGACACATGGAAGATGATGAATATATAAACATGCTCCAGATGGAAAAAAAATATGAATGAATTAGAAGGATTGGACATGAATCATGGGAAGGGTAAGAAAATAGGGGTAAAAGAATAAGGATGGTTACTAAATGGATACCTATTCAGACTCAGAAAAATGATACAATAATCAATAATGAAGCAACTGAAACTCCTAAGGTGGCACAATGAGCCTGAGCTTGGACAAAGGAGTGGGAGGCTACATGTGGAGGACAACATCAATATAGAGGGTACAATATCAACTATTGAAACTAATTCTAGACAAAGAAGTGAGAAGCAACATGTGGTGGAGAGCATCTGTTCACAAAATATAGTAACATCCATTGGAATTGATTCCAGGCTATGAAGTGAAAATAAACATATGGAGGAATGTCTAGATAGTATACTAGAGAATCAATTACAAAATGAAAGGACGAGTGTTTGCAACTACATTCATTCCTTCCCACATGTTCATCTCTACTTGGAATGTTAGAGTCCTTAACCTAGGACATAAGTAGAAGGAGATCAAACTCTTTCTTAATATATATAGAGTAGATATGTTTGAAAACAAGGGTCAAGGAACATAAAGCACCCCAAATAAGAAGGAAAATAACTTATGGATGGCTAAATGCACATAATTATAGTAGTGGTGATAGCAATGACAGAATATAAATATGGTGGAGAGATAATTTGAAAGTGCAAATCATTGAGGTGCATAAACAATTTATTCATTGCCTAGTGAAAGATTCATGGGTGCAGACTAAATTATATGTTACTATTGTTTGTGCAAAGAATAAATTGTTGAAAAAGAGATTTTGTGGCAGGATATTATACAGATCACATTGCAGCAGCAATTTCCTTAGGTTGTATGTGGAGACTTTAAAAGTGTCTTGAGCTTAAAAGATAGATTGGGATCCCTTGTCACACAATGGGAGATACAGGGATTTCAGAATGTCATAGATCAACTGCAACTAACAACCATCAGAGCTACTGGGTGGCATTTTACTTGGTACAACAAACATGCAAGTGATAAAAGGATCTAGTAAAATTGATTGGGCTTTTGAAAATATACAGTGGATATAACAGTTTGGTCATGTAGAAGATGAATTTTTGAATCCCTTAATCTCTGATCGCTCCCCAATAAAAATTGAGTGTAAACAGCGCTATAACATTCATCCTAAAGTGTTTAGATTCTATACTGATGTGATGGAACATCCTGAATTTGATGCAATCATGAATAAGGCTTGGGAGGGGGGGAGGGGGGAGTACTGAGTGTGAGTGTACAATGAAGCAAATATGGAGGAAATTTAAGAACTTCAAATATCAAAGTAAGGAAATGAATGCATATATAGCCTCTATAAACAGAAGTTAAATGTTTGAGGGAACAATTAGATATCTTACAAACAAACCTGCAAACAAGCAACTTGGATCAAAACATCATAAAGCAGGAGAAGAAAATCTTAATCGATATTGAGAAGTGGAGTAATATTGAGGAGCTTGCAATCAGAAAAAAAAAAAAAAAACTAAAGCAATATGGATAGGTCATGGAGACTCCAATACCAGATACTTTCGTGCTCAGCGGAAGATTAGAACCAGTCACAATACCATATCCTCTATATTTACTAAAGAAGGAAACAAGATGACAGACCCTAAATTAATAGAAGAAGAGTTTATTTCGTGCTCAGTGGAAGATTAAATGGCTTTTTTTAATTGAATATAATATAATTACTTGACAGTACACATAATTATATACATTATAAATTTTGTATATATTCAATCTTTTTCTTTGAAATATTTTATTCTTTCTTTTAACTTTTTTATTTTTTCTCTTTTATTAATTTCTTATTATTCACTTCTAATTAATTTGAAAAAAATTATGTGTATTTTTTAGAAATATAATATTAGACTTTTTTGAAAGTGTCCTTTTTTTTAATTTTATCAATGTTTTGATTTTTTTCATTTTTTTAATTATTTAAATTTAACGCATTTTAGATATAAGACATTTAGAATTGAATTTAAAGGAAAAGAAAACATAATAAATAAAAAAAAACAATCCATCTTTTTAATTATATGTCTACTAAATTTGCGATGACATGTGCTGAGCACGGGCCAACATAATTACATAACATGTTAGAAGGGTGTTCCATATTTTCAACACTTGAAAATTAAAATTTTACAACTCAACGGAGAATGTAATTACACATATGCATAACAAATATATAATCATTACTTCCTTATACTATAATCTAATAAAGAAATTTATAATGGGTGGGGAAATAACATTTCAATATTATCTAATAAAGAAATTTCTAGAGAACGACATTCATTAGCTCGTCCTCTTGCTAATCATTTTTAAAAAATGCTTGAAAATAAATGATAAAGCTAAAGTACTTATAGTTGAATGGTGCCAACAAAATATGATCAAATAAGATTGAAAATATATATAAAATTATAGGTGTTATTGATAACAGTATCAAACATCCAAATCTTCACAGTAACTTTCTGTTTTTTGTCTTATTTGTGGAGGATGAAAAAGACCTGAAGAGTGCATAAGAATCAAAAAACACAATTCAATTACCTAATGATCAACTGAACTCGCAACTGAAATTTATCACTATACTGGTCCAGCACGATAAGAAGTCTTAAAAGGTTACAGTATAAAATCAAAAGTGTTAAAAATAAGAAGCATTGAGAAATTTTAAAAATTTCATATAGTGAGGAACAGTAAAAAAATTTAAAAAAAAAGTACATCGGATAGCAGATATTTCAAAGGGTAGTTACGTGTGACATAAAAGAAAAAAAGAAAAAAATAGATCGTATTATTAGCAATCGTAGATCTAACTCAACTGATAGTAGAATATCTGAGAATAAAAATTGAGCATTTTTTTCACGACATTTGTATCGGAATGGTGTTCTTCTTCCCGAACTTTGAAGTGAACTAAAGTTCAATGCAAATGTAATTCCTAATTAATAGATCACAAAAAATATAGCAGAAGACAAAAATATATGTGTTATAAAAGGTAAAGTTAAAAAAATAAATTTATACTTGCACAAAGAGACAAAAAATGGAGGAACTTAAATTTTCAACCAATTAGTCAAAAAGAAATACCAAAAGAATTCTTGAGGAGACGACGATGAAGAAATAAGAAAACCAACTCCTTCAAATATTAACTTAACCTCTTGATAATTCAAATCATTATTTTGCAATTAATTTGCAAAAAACAATACTACTCCATTATGTTGTTCCACAATAAACCAACAGTAACAAACTTCTATATCTATAGGAAAAAAAAGAAGTAAAAGAAGCACATATATTTTCTTCTTTAAGAACTCCATAAAAAAAATATTATCTAGAAGAAACTCGTCACATTCATAAATATAAGAGAAATAATATTTCTACGTCCATTATAAAACAAGACAGATCAAGGAAATAAAATATACATGAAAGCAAATGAAAATTATTTTAAAAGCCATTCTTTATCATAATGATGTATTGCTTAATAATATTGTCTAGTAATTGTAAATAATATACCTATTGGAATGTTGAATGATATGCAAGTCATAACACTTCTGCGTGAAAAAGAAAAAGAAACAAAATCTATTTTGATTATTCTATACATATAATCAAACATCTTAGTTGCATAAAAATTGCACTGACATCATGAATTTTTCATCAAATTTGAAGACCACTCTTTGCTTTAGGTACAATCAATAAAAGAAGAAATCCATTAGTTAGAAAATATATAAGGCAATATGGTTTATGAGGAGTTCAAAAGAAAAACACCTATAAGGATATTATTCTTGGAGATTGTATGACTTTCTAAGTGTCTTAAAGTTGTGGTTTACTGATTTTAATTATAACTTGATTAACATATGGTCATCACATTTATTATGTCGTAATTGTCCGCAAGAACATGACAGTAAATTTTTCTTAGGTACAATTATATGCAAAGATTAAAATTTAAAACATAACTTGCCTCATTATATTAACTTTAAAATAGAAAAAGTATCAACATTTTCATAAAATCTAGTAGATGGCAAACTGATTTAGTTGAGAACATTCCATTCAATTAAAAGGACCAATAACGATGTCCTTAGTGTGATTTTTTAGTGTAATAGAATTGGCCTTAGTAACAATGTTATTAAGAATGACTATATATAAAGAGTTTTCCCCAGATTCACTTGTGTCATTCCAAATTTTGGATACCTTAAGAGTATACTCGTTGCATTCCATGAATAAGGTTACAAAGGGAAGGAGTATGGGGATCCAACTATGGTTCCATTGGTCTATGATTTTTTCGGTGCTCGCTGCCCAAGCTAACCCTTGCGCACACAGTTTCCGTCCTTCCAAAATATTTTGTCAAGTAAAAGAAAATGCTGAAATTGAGATTTTAGAATTATATTTATTAAGGAGCGTACTGGCCCACATGGAGTTAGGGTTGGTGAGAAGTCTCCACGAGAGACTTGCAACGATGGAGAGGTTTTTATCAATAACTTTTGAGAGGCCAAGCCCGCTTTTGTGTTTGAGCATTCCAACTAAGATAGTGTAATTTCTTTTTTGGGTAGTAGACCCCCAAAGGAAATATCTTTGAATCTTGCAATTTCCTGCTTATACGTCGATGATATGTTTATATTTGGTACAAATTTAAATATTTTGAATAGTATCAAATTATTTTTGTCTATTGATTTTGATATGAAAGATCTGGTGAAGTAAATATGATTTTGGAAGTTAAGGTAATAAGGAGTAAAGATGGTATAATATTGTCAAAAATATATTATGTGCAAAGACTTCTTAATTTTTTTTGAATTTTTTGAGGTGACACTTGTAGTCATTCCTTATGATGCTAACTCTAAATTGAAAAAAAATTATTAACCTAGTTGCTCAGTCTAAATATGCTCAAATTATTGAAAGTCCATTGCATTTGATGAATTTTACTAGGCATGATATTGCCTATGTTGTGTGTAGATTGGTTAGATATATTGACAATTCCAATAATGAGCATTTATATGCAATAAATAGAGTGATAAAATATTTTTGAGAAACATGAATTATGGTATAATGTATAGTGAATTTCCTTTTACTTTAGAAGGATATTATGATGCTTCTTGGATCTCTGATTCAGATGAGACTAAATCCAATACTGAATATGTGTTTATCTTAGGTGGTGGTGCAATATCCTGAAAATCATCTAAATAGGTGATCATTACTAGATTGATTATGGAGTTAGAGTTTGTAACTCTGTAGTTGGTTGGTTCTGAGACTAAATGGCTAAGAAATTTCTTAGTGAATATCCCTTGAATAAAGGATGAATTTCTAGCTGATTCCTTCGATAAAGAATGTATTATTGATCCCTTCGATGAAGGATGAATTTGTTGATCCCTTCGATGGATGATGAATTGATGATCCCTTTGATGAAGGATGAATTGTTGATCCCCTTAATAAAGGATGAACTGTTTATCTTTTTGATAAAGGATAAATTGCCTCATGAGTTTATACACTGGAATTGTGAAGCCGCAACTGCTATTGCGAAGAATAAATCTTACAATTGTAACAGTAGACAGATGAAATTAAGGCATGATGTCATTAAACAGCTGCAGAAAGATGAAATAATTGTAATTGATTATGTGAAGTCAGATTGAATTCGGCTGATTCACTGACGAATTTCGTGGAAAGAAAATTAATTCTTTAGACCTCAATAGAAATGAGGTTAAGGCCAATTGATAGCATATAAAAATTGTAACACAACCTATGTGATTGGAGATCCAATGAAGTAAGTTCATATGGGTAATAACAAGTCGATATTACTATAATACTAAAAATAGGGATGAGTTATTAACTCTTAATGAATTCATAGTCCTAATCAAGGAAGGTATATTTAAAGCAGTGTACACTTGATGAATTCACCTATAAGGGAAGTGGAGTGTTACCGCTCCTATGAGATTTTGACCTAATCTCTAGAGCTCTCATGAATACTAGGTACACGCATGACCTATGAACGCAAAACCGCGCTGAACAACAAAATTACTATGGTCAAAATGTGTTTGGTCAAGTCTCTGATTTACAATTAGATTTATTTGGTTCATAGAAATATTATATTTCACCAGTAATTCTGTAAATTAAATTTTATCAAGTTAAGTTTGATTTATAATCCGAAAGACACCAAATCTATTGCATTTTGTCCTAAAAATCCAGCAAGTTATATTTTTATAAAAAACTTTTGAAATAAATAGGGGATTGTATGAAAATATTTTTATTTCAAAAGATTATTGTATTAAATGTATTAACAAAGCCAAATAATTAAATTATTTTGGAATCATTTCTCAGAGAAGTGACAATTACTTTTATTATGGCATGATTTTCCATCTCTTTGACAACTCTCTATGCATGCGTCATTTTTGCATGTAAGTATTTGGACAAATGGCCACTTGTCATGGTGTCATTTCCCCCCTTTTCCTATTAATACTATTTCTTCTTCTTTAGAAAAAGTGAGCAGAGAAATATATTTCTATTGTACTCACTCTCTCGTTTTCTGTTTTCTAATTGGGTTTATTTTTTAATTAGTATTTATTTTTATATTTCTTCTAACAACTTGCTGATGTTAATTAATTTGCTGAATTTTGTAACCTCTATTTAAGATAAGGAAGTGCTTGTTTAATTGTGGGAGAATATTTTACATTGTTGCAATAATCTTTAGGACAATGCCTAGCACGACTCAAATATTAATTTTATGTATTGTTATTATATATTATTGTAAGAATTTTCATCTTATTTTCAAACTACTATTTTGCTAAATAATAAAGCTATTTATTGTTATTATTGTGAAATTTTGCCCAACAATCTAAGAAATTATGGCATATATAATATGTGTCCTGAAACTACTGATGGTATTGATGATACTTATGTTGTTGCTACCCTGATTGGTACTGTTCAAGTCATTCTGTCCGAGATTTACGGTAAAAAAAATTACAGATATGTAAATAGACTTGGTTACAAATTCAATGCTAATAAATTAACCTTCATGAAAAATACACTTCAATGCAAAATAATGTTGAAAAGAAACGACAATTCCGCTAAGTTAAAAATAAATTTGGCTGAAACGGATGATATGATTATTGCGGTCATTTCAAAATTAAATGTTATGACAAATGTGAGAAACTGAGTGATAGACTCTGGTGCTACTAGGAACATTTGTATAAATAAAAAAGATTTTGTGTCATACACCCAAGCTGAGAAAGGAGAAGATATTGTTTATCTTAGTGACTCAAGTACAACTAAAGTTTTTGAAAAAGAAAAAAGTTCTTCTCAAGCTCACATCTGATAAAATTTTCGCATTGAGTGATGTATTACATGTTCCTAATATCCAAATTAATTTGATTATTGTGGGATTATTAGGAAAAGATAGAATGAAGGTTTATTTTGAAGGTAATAATATCATACTAAATAAAAACAATATTTTATGGGTAATGAATTTTGTAACTATGACTTATTTGTGCTAAAAATTTGTGATAATTTTAGTTAATCTGCTTTCGTTTATATGATTGTGCCTATTGTTTATGGCATGGTAGATTAGGACATGTTAGTATGTCATATACTAAAAATATGTGATCTCTTGGTTTAATACCTGATTTAGATTTAATTTTTTTTAATAAATGTGAAATATGTACTGAAGCTAAAATTACTAAAAAGTCATATTTTTAGTGAATAGAGAAATTGAATTATTATCTTTGATCCACACTGATTTGTGTTGAAACAGACTATGACTAGAGGTGGTAAAAGATATTATGTAACTTTTATTAATGATTTTTCATACTTACTAAGTTGTACTTGTTAAGAAATAAAGATGACGTGTTTAATGCTTTAATTGCTTACAAGTGTGAGGTTGAAAATCAACTTGGTAGAAAAATTAACCGAATAAAATCGTGGAGAATATGTATCTTTAAATGCTTTATATGAAAAAAAAATATTCATGAAGTAACCCCGTCATATTCACCTGAGTCGAATGGAGTAGCTGGAAAAATAGAACTTTAAAGGAAATGATGAATTCCATGTTAATTAGTTTTAATGTTCCTAATGATTTGTGGGATGAAGCTACATTATACGCATGTGTAACGACCCGCTATGTCGTTTAGAAAATCACGACTATTTTGACTCTTTCGTAAAATTTAAATCAAAAACTATAGAATATTCGGTAGCTACGAATATCCTGTTGGTGAATTTTTATTAAATAGTTAATAGTTAGTAGGTCAAATAAAAAATTCATTTAATATTTTTATATTTGGCCCATATAAATAGATGAATTAAAAAATAATTTAAGGATTTAAATTCCTTGTATATCACAATTCACCGTAACTTCTATCTGCACACGATTTCAAAAAATCACTGCATCAGTAGAGCAAGAACAAAACCTGCCAGGTAAAACAAAAATATGTTAGATTGATATTGTTGTGTGTGTTAGTGTTGTCTACGTAGGAATTTTATTTGGTATGAATATGTTGTAAAATATTGCTGCCAATGAATCAGTGGAAACTTGACACTGTACCGTAGGATAACCTCGTAATAGGATAAATATCAATTGCTAATGATGGCATCATGATTGCCTAATAATTGACATAATGATTGCTAATAATTTCCAGGGTGGTAAGGGTGTAGAAGTTAAAACTCATCTGTAGGGGCATAAAAATCAGAATTTGCAGATTCTAGAAATTTGGGAAAGAAATTTCCTTTTTTTTTGTAGTACTAATAATGGTGGGAACAAGATTGGATGTCAATCATTAGACAATCATGCCAATGATTGACATTTGATAGAGATATTTAAGAAATTTGACATTTTTGCAGAATGGGTTAAGGAAAAATGGTCATGTTGTACTGCCTATGTCAATGGATGGAATTGGTTCTTATTTTATTTATTTATCAAATTAAGATATCAGTTTTTGATATAATGAGATAGGTAATTAATTATTAAGTGTATATTATATGATTTAACATTGAATTCTAGGGTATTTGAAAAAATTAAGGTTCAATTCTTGACTTATTAATTTAGCAGATATGATAATTTTGATTTATAAATTATATCAATATTTAAAGCTTGATTAGATATATTAATGAGTGTGGTCGCTCCTATGAGACTTTGACCTAATCTCTAGAGCTTTCATGAATACCAGACACACGCATGACCTATTGGCGCAAAACCGCCTTGAACAACAAAACTACTATGATCAAAATGTGATTAGTAAAGTCTCTCATTTACAATTAGAATTATTTGATTCATAGGAATATTATATTTCACCAGTAATTCTGTAAGTTAAATTTTATTGATCTAAGTTTAGTTCATTATCGAAAGACACCAAACCTATTGCATTTTGTCTTGAAAGTCCAACAAATTATATTTTTATTAAATCTTTTGAAATAAATGGTGGATTGTAAGCACATATGTTTATTTCAAAAGATTATTTTATTAAATTTATTTACAAAGCCAAATAATTAAATTATTGTGAAATTATTTCATAGAGAAGTGACAATTACTTTTATTATGATATGATTTTCCATCTCTTTGCTCTACACATGTGTTCTTGGACAAGTGGAAGACCACTTTTCATGGTGTCGTTTCTCCCTTTCTCTATAAATACTATTGCTTCTTCTTTAGAAAAAGTGACCGGAGAAATACATTCTTCTATTTTACTCACTCTCTCGTTTCCTCTTTACTAATTGGGGTTATTTTAATTAATGTTTTACTTTTATATTTTCCCCTAACAATTTTGTAATGTTAATTAATTTGTTGATTCCTGTAAACTCTATTTAAGGGAGGAAAGTGCTTGTTTAATCGTGGGGAATCATTTCACATCGTTGAAAATAGTTTCTTAGGACAGTGTCCAACACGACTCAAATATTAATTTTATATACTGTTATGATATATCATCTTTGTAATTTTCATATTATTTTTAGGACTACTATTTTGCTAAATAATAAAGCTATTTATTATTATTATTGTGAAATTTCCTTTATTTCCCAACAATCACTTTAATCAATTGAGAATTTCTAAAATCTAGTCCCTTAATGAATTTTGAAGTTTAAAATAATACAGACAACATACACAACTATTTCGATGTTATAGTACATAGATGAGAAAATATAGTACAAGTCAACATAAATATACAACTTAATGGGATTCCATTTATGTTCTTAAAAAAAGAAATCGAGAAGCCAAAAGATTGAAAATATTAAATTGCTACTTACTGTCCATAGGTATTCAAAGCATAACATATGTTATTCCTACAATGAAAAGTGCAATAAATCTTTCCAGATGATCAGTACATTCGAGCAAATGCCTTCAACATATCTGTGAACTTTTTTCTCTTATCTCACATCAAGTAAATCAATATCATACAACTTTATCAGAAAACACACCTCTTAAATTTTCAATTACTATATCAACAGAAAGTGATAACTCTAAGTTCAGAACACAGTAATATATTTGAACTTCGATTTCTAAATTTGAGAATACAAATCCTATCAATTGATATCTGACATTAAATATTTTTCTCTAAATGACACATAAAATGCTTATGGTAAGAAAGAGAAAAGTTCACAACTTATTCCTAAATATTACCTGGCACAACAATATCTCTAAAATATACCTAAAGATTTTTAATTTCTCACTATAAGTAATCTACATTATTCATTGAATTTTGAGATCTTTATTGGTGTGTGATCGAAATTTCTAGTCACCTCTTATAATCGAATTCAAGACTGCAAAATTGAGAATAAGACTAGCACAAAAATTATGTACATGACACATACTTATAACCACATACCCACAAAACAACAAAATGAAAAGTAACATCAAAACAATCAAACATACAATCAACAAAGTATGAATTAAAACAAAAAAAAAAAGACTTACGAAGTTCAGTAGATCTCACCGCTCATTGAAGAAGGTGATGAGAAAGTGGGAGGAAGAAATGACAGCAGAAAAAGCAAAGTGAAAGAGGGAAAAAGGGCAGAAAGATGGAGAGAGCAAAAGCGAGGTACAATTAGTCATTGTTGTGTTGGTCCTCTCTTGTTGGCTTATAAATAATAGAATTTATTTTCTTATAATTATATTATAAAATAATTAACGCATCAAGTTCCCGCTCTCTAGTTCCCATCTCTCTTTATTTTTTTTAAAAAAGGTCACATTACATCTCATATGGACAAATAGTTTTACTTTGCCAAAAATTAAATAAATTATTAGTATCAGCTAAAATTTGAAATTATTAAAAAATAATAATTTTTTTATAAAATAAAATGTAAAATATTTTTCTTACTCCACTCCCTCTCCCCCCCCCCCTCCCTCTTCAAATATTAATTAAGATATTTTTATTTTTTAAAAAAGACATAATTCTACTCACTCCACCTAACGTTTCGTTTCAAATTTTTTTTCTCGTTTTATGCTAAATATATACATATCGCAAATATTTTTTACTTGCAATCGCAAGACTTTTTTTAAAATAATTTTTTATTTATGTTTAAATTCGATACACAAGTAGAAAAATTTATATATATATATATATATATATATATATATATGTATATATATATATATATATATATATATATATGTGTATATATATATATATACACACACATTTCTAACACAAATAGAGAAAAATATTTTAAAAGAAAAAGTTAGGGGTGGAGACTTAAATGTTTTTTTTGGGGGGGGGGGGGGGGAGTTAGATTTTTTTTAAAAATAAAATAATATTTTTTTTAGGGAATGAATGAGTGTTTTTTAAGGGGGGAGGGGGGGGGGATATGAATTGTTTTAAAAAAATTAAAAAAAAAGGACAAGGGATTGGGGGAGGGGGTGAGTGGTGGTGGAGTGGGGTAAGAAAAATAATTTAAATTTTATTTTTGCAAAAAATAATTTTTTTTGGAGACAGTAATACTTTGATTTTTAATTTTTAATTAATACTAATATATTATTATTTGATTTCTCGTAAGGTGGAATATTAGTATAACTTGCAAAACTCATATTGTAAATAGTAAATTACATTTTATCTCTTCTTTTTTTCTAATTACAATAATCTCTTAAAATTTGTACCTTCCGAATACATTAATTCACCACCGAATACATTAATTCAGATACAAGAAAAATCTTTCTCTTGCGCTAAAAAATGGAGTAATATTTGAAAATTAATTAAATTCCATAAATTATGCTTATGTTTCTTCTTACTATCGGTCATATAGAGGTAAATACTAGTAGAACGAAGAAATTCAAATTTTCAAATTGTTCCCCCTGTTCAATGAAGAAACTTTTCAATTTTGATTCTAAAATTTTTGTCAAAATTTTGGGTAAGCGGGGTGAGTTATGAAGGATACAAACGTGATGGAATTGTTGTTGGACAAACGATATCCCTTTGAATCTTCAAGTTCATCGAGAATCCTTTCAATTCTGATTCAAGATTATCAAAATTTTTGAGTTTTAATATTGTCTCGGCCCGAGCCTACCCCACAGATGTAATATGGCGTACTTGATCCCGAAGGGGGTCTCATACAAGCCCTTAGCATAATCATAATATAAAATCATAGAAATGATATGGAAATAATTTTTTATTACAATCGAAGTCTTTTCATAAATGGAAAAGAAATCTAGACATAGTCTTCACAAACCATCTATGATAATCGAAGTCCAAAAGGAATAGGGTCATAGCCTAAACAATCGAAAATCGAAAGTTCTAACATAACAAGAAAGAAAGCAACATCAATTTGACACTTGCCTTTGAATCCGTGAGGACTCACCACATGCCTCGGAGAAGTAGGATGTCCAAGATTTAATCAAAGGGGAACCTATCAATGACCGGAACCTACATTTTGTAGAAAAGGTAGAGGAAATATGGATTAGTACTAAGTATGATAGTCATACATAAAATTCATTAAAACATGCAAAGAGGGACTTTTAGTTGAAAACCATGCATTTGTTATTTTTGAGAATCTCTTTACACATTCTAACATATGTCTCAAATCATAAGCATATTCTTTATTCAATTCGTTGTCACATCGTAAAGCCCTTTCTTAGGTACTCTTAAGTCATACTTGTGTTATGCATGGATGACATCCCATAATACCACCTACGATAAGTATTTTTCTTAAGCCACCACATTTTATACAGGCAACATTCATACATAATAGCTTAAGTGAATGAAAGCCAATCATAACAACCATTCATTAAATATACATAGTTCATGAGTCTTCATTAGCAATACAAGAACTACACTACAACCCCTCTCAAAGTCCACTTGTTCATGTATGAATGAAGTCCCATATCCCAATTATACTAAGTCAATCTCTTTAAGAAGTCATAAGTAATAGTTCATATTCATGTTCTTATCATGTAGGAAAATTTAGCATAACCAACATAGACCATGTGAACCACATGGAATTCGGTGTTATGTAACCCACACCGAAAGAAGATGTCCTACTTGTCTAAGGTGGAACTAAAGTTTATTTGGTTTTAGATGGATCCACTAGCTAAAGTCCTATGTGAGCACATAGTTACGGGATAGAGAGATTGTTTCTAGAAACCTGGCCTAGTAATGGCGGAGGAGCTTTCATCTCATGAGATCATTTGTAGAAAATTCGGCCTATTGCAATGACGGGAAGACCTCTACCTCACTATCCTATCCACTCGGTGCTAAGCCTTATTTCCCAAATTACATGTTTAGTCTTTGAATTGAATTTACATGCATGACAGAGTGTCTCTTCCTTCATGCAGCACAACTCACAAAATAGCTCATAGATTCAATAGGTGACAATGTACTTTCAATCTTAAAATCATCATTAGTATGTGAGTAAGCCTTTCACACCATGTACATTATGTGTTGATGAAAATAGTCTTCCAATCAAACATAACAAGATCACCATAGTCATAGGTACTTCATGCATATTCATGTATAAGAGCATACGGAAAATATCTATCAATTTGATATCACAATATAAACAATAATCATAGTGTCTCCACTTTCTAAGTGGATCATAAGCTCATGCACAATTCTCTTCAACATTTAATTTCCTCACAAATTGCCCTTGAATGGTCTTAGATCACGATTCATCAACACATACAATAGTTACTATGATAGGCATGTAAATTAGCATGACAATAGCTAAAATATCATACTTTCAATCATGGCTACATGACAATCTCTATAATTCATTCAAGCCACAATTTATGAAATTGGGTTATGGGGAAATTCACGGCTACATGGAAGTACGTCAATAAATCACCATAAGACAAAAATAGCATCATAATATAAGCCAAATTGAACTTTGAAATCGTTTTAAGAAAGAACCCATGACTAAAATGAAATTGTAGGTTTTGGAGGAAATTTAACTTTGAAAACTTGAGTTTAGAAGGGCTTCATGGTTGAAATATTAAACATGAATCAATACTACCATACCTTGGTTGTAGAATCCACACAAAATTGAAGAGAAAAGATGAACTCTTACGCTCCAAATAATCAATATAAACCACACTAACCCATAATTAATTAGGATTTACCCTTAACTGGGCAGCCTTCTAGGTGACCTACAAAACTCCCACTCACGAATCGTGTGTAGGGTCACGCCTCGTGCTGGCATCCTATCGTTTTGTTCACAAAGTGGGAGTACCAAGGGAAAAATGGGGAGACTACGTCTCGACCCACGACCCCCACCTACGGGGTGTGGGTCCACCCACGATTCGTGGGTGCCCATTATGGAGCATGATGCCTTTTGACAGCTTCTAGGGCCTTCTCTTGGGTCCTCCTCAAGGACCCATGGTTAATCCTTGAGGTCTTCCCTTGACGTCTAAACCCAAAAACAACTATATTAAGCACACGTGGCGTATTTATGACTCTAATCATTAGATTAACCCCATATAGGTCACTAGTTTGTTAGATTCTAGTTTAAGCTTACTAGTTTTTACTGGCTGTTACAAAAATTCTTTCTTCTCCTAGTTAAACGAAGATCCTTTTCAATTTTGATTCAAAATTGTTAAAAATTTTGAGATTCAAAATTCTTCTCCTCGTTTATTGAAGATCCATTCAATTTTGATTCAAAATTATAGAAAAATTTGAGAAGATACATCATGAATATCTTTGTTACTTAACATTTTACTATTTATGTATCTTATTTAAATTTGATAAGTATTGTATTTATATTAGATATATTAAATAAATAAATATTGCTCACAACATGTTAGAATTGAGATTGATACATTATTGTGTGGTAACTGCTATGTTATTAATACATTTAGTATAAATTTAAATTTACATATCATGTCTAAAAAATTAGTGCATGATACAATACTATTTAAGTATCTCGTTATTCTAAAAAAATAAAGTGAAACTTAACTATGCAACGTAATATTAAAATAACAATAATAGAAATATAACATTAGATTTTATATATACTTTTAACTTATAAAGCTAATAAACTTAAATAGTTATAAATATAAAGGTTAATAAATAAAATAGATTTGTATAGGATAAAAAAAAAGAAAATAATTATTGAGTTTAATTTTTAAACCAAAATTGTGGTTGTAAATGATTTCACCTTATAAACCAAAATCGAAAGAAGAAAATAAAGTGAAGAAAGCGCATGGCGCGCATTGGGTTTCATATTGAATGCATTAAAAATCAAAACCAAACCCCAAATGATGATAGATAGCGATGTGGATGACAACCATGAAATATCGCACATTGGTCCCCAATTGCTCTCCAAAATTTGCCTCCTTCATTTTCGTGAACATTCCTCAAAACACTAATCTCACTTTCCGTTTTCAATTTTTCCTTCTCTCTCTCTTTTTTGAATTCAACATATCATACAAAGGGTGTAATTTTTTTTTTTGGCGGAATCATGTATTTGATTGATTTGTAGTTCGAATGTGGGTCAAGAAATTAATAGTGGGTATAGTTTTTCAGTGGTTAGAATAAGTGATATTGGTTTGGCTAAGATGCAGGGTGGAATGATGTTTGCCAGGCTTGATGATTCGCCCATGTTTCGTCAGCAGGTTAAAGAAAGATTCAATTTTTAAAGTTTAGCATATTGTGTGTACCAAAGCCAGTTGCTGTCTTTGGTAATGATGATGATTTAGTGT